CACTCGGACTTTCCTGTCCTGCGCTTGCACTCTGACAGAGGTGGTGAGTTCTCCTCCGACCTCTTGGCAGCCTACTGTGCTGAGCACAACATTGAGCACTCGTTCACGCTTCCGGCCTCTCCACAGCAGAATGGGGTTGCGGAGCGCCGCATTGGCCTGGTCATGGAGGTCGCCCGTACCTCCCTGATCCATGCGGCTGCCCCCCACTTTCTGTGGTCGTTTGCGGCCCGGTACGCTGCGCATCAGCTCAACCTCTGGCCCCGTGTCTCCTTCCCGGAGACCTCGCCCACACTGCTGTGGACGGGGGAGGTTGGCGATGCGTCGCGTTTCCGAGTCTGGGGATCTCGTGCTTTTGTCCGTGATACGTCTGCGGACAAGCTCTCCTCCCGTGCTGTTCCCTGCGTCTTCCTCGGCTTTGTCCCGGACGCGTCTGGTTGGCAGTTTTACCACGCCACCTCGCGCCGAGTCTTGCCCTCTCAGGACGTCACTTTTGACGAGTCCGTCCCCTACTACCGCCTCTTCCCCTACCGCACTGCCCCGCTCCCCCCCCCGCCTCTCTTCCTCGCGCCAGGTGCTGCTGTTGTAGACCCCCTCCCCCCTCAGGGTGCCGCTCCCTCAGGTGTGTCTCAGGTAGACCCGGTTGAGCCTGTTGAGGTAGATGTCGACTCTCGTCTTGCTGGGGGTGCTAAGCCTGGGGGTGCTGAGCCAGGGGGTGCTGAGCCTGGGGGTGCCGGGACTGGGGGTGCTGAGCCTGGGGGTGCGGAGCCTGGGGGTGCTGAGCCTGGGGGTGCTGAGCTTCGGGGTACTGAGCCGCAGAGTCCGGAGTCTGGGGGTTCTTAGTCTGGAGGTGCTGAGCCTGGGAGTCCTACACCTGGAGGAGCCCTCTCCTCGGAGCAGCTGCGTGAGTGGTACTTACAGTACTGCAGCCTCAGGAGAGGTACCTCTGGAGCCAGGCGTGCTACTGGGACTGGTGCTAGTGCTTCTCCTCCTAGTCAGGAGCTCCCCTCCCGTGAGCGGATCCGTGAGTGGTACGAGAGGCGTTGCACTCTTCGGAGTGGCGCGCCTCGTGTCGCGGACCCCGCTGCCGTGGGTGCTGCTGCAGGTGCTTAGGACCCGGGAGCTGTAGTTGCTGTTGGTGCTGAGGACCCAGGTGTTGGAGCTGCTTCTGGTGCTAAGGACCCGGTTGTTAGAGCGGCTGCTGGTGCTGCGGACCCGGGCGTTTGAGCTGCTGCTGGTGCTGAGGACCCGGGAGTTGGAGCTGCTGCTGGTGCTGTGGACCCGGGCGTTGGAGCTGCTACTGGTGCTGAGGACCCGGGTGTTGGAGCTGCTGCTGGTGCTGCGGACCCGGGCGTTGGAGCTGCTGCTGGTGCTGAGGACCCAGGTGTTGGAGCTGCTGCTGGTGCTACGGACCCGGGCGTTGGAGCTCCTGCTGGTGCTGAGGACCCGGGCGTTGGTGCTGCTGCTGGTGCCGCGGACCCTGGCGCGGGTGTCTCTGCTGGTTCTGGTGTCGGTGCACGGCCGCGGCCGTACTTCGTTCCGCTCCTTCAGCAGGTTCTTGGTCCGCTCCCTCCTCCGTGTCCTCCTCCCTCCATAGGGTGTCCTCCGTCTGCCCAGCTGCCGTCGCAGCTACCGTCTGCCTCCTCTCTCCCTGCTCCTGCTCCTTACACTGGTCCGAGTGGAGGTCTTACTGAGCGTCGTGAGCCTGAGTCTCGTCCTGCGTCGCCAGAGCCTTGTCGTGCGTCGCCTATCCGTATTGCTCTCACTGGTAGTCGTGTCCCGCGTCAGAATCATCCTCCTGTCCCAGGCACTCACCGGATGGCGCTTCGTCCGTCCACTGCACCACAACGTGTCCCGTTGCCGTCTCCTCCTACTTCCTCTCTTCCTGCTCTTGCTGACCCGGGGTCAGACTCCCTTCATGCTGCCAGTCCTACTGTCACGCGTCGCCTGGCTACTGTTGTCACTGACTCTTCCTTTGAGTCCGCTGCTGCGTCTGCCTTAGTTGCTGAGCTTGTCGACCTTTCTGCCACCTGACGTCTAGACTACGCTGCTAGCCTAATTGTTGAGTCTGAGTCTGTCTGTCCTCCGTCCGTCGGGGGTGAGTGTGCTCTTGGCACGGACGTCCTTGAGGACAAGCAGGAGGAGTTTGAGTGCTTTGCTGCTGCTTTGCCCCATCTCGTGTCCATGCTTGTTTCCCCTAAGGGAGACCCGAATGCACCAGACATCCCGACCCCACGCTCTTACGCAGAGGCGATGGCCGGTCCCTACTCCTCTCAGTGGCAGTCAGCCATGGACACAGAGATGGCTTCCTGGAAGTCCACAGGCACCTACGTCGACGAGGTTCCCCCACGTGGGGCGAACATTGTCAGTGGCATGTGGATTTTCAGGGTGAAGCGGCCGCCGGGCTCTCCGCCTGTCTTCAAGGCGCGTTACGTTGCACGAGGCTTCAGTCAGCGAGAGGGGGTTGACTTCTTCCAGACCTTCTCCCCGACCCCGAAGATGACCACTCTTTGGGTTCTGCTGCACGTCGCCGCTCAGCGTGACTACGAGCTCAACTCTCTTGACTTCAGCACTGCTTTCCTACAGGGCAGTCTGCACGAGGAGATCTGGCTGCGCCGTCCACCTGGCTTCACTGGGTCTTTCCCTCCTGGTACCCAGTGGAGCCTCCGACGGCCAGTCTACGGTCTCCGCCAAGCGCCACGTGAGTGGCACGACACACTGAGGACAACACTTGCAACTCTTGGGTTCGCGCCTTCTACTGCGGACCCGTCGCTGTTTCTACGCACCGACACCTCACTGCCGCCGTTCTACATCCTCGTGTACGTCGACGACTTGGTCTTTGCCACTGCTGACACTGCGGCACTCGCCCACGTGAAGTCGGAGCTGTAGAAGAGACACACGTGCACAGACCTGGGTGAACTGACAAGCTATCTTGGCTTGCGGATCACCCGGGACAGAGCACGCCGCACCATCACCTTGACTCAGTCACACATGGTGCAGCAGGTCCTTCAGCGCTTCGGCTTCACGTACTCCTCGCCTCAGCCCACTCCTCTGCCTACCGGTCCCTCGCTCTCAGCTCTGCCTTCGGAGTGGCTCGTATCCGGAGCTTGTGGGTTGCCTCATGTACCTGATGACCTGCACTCGACCTGACCTTGCATACCCTCTTAGCATTCTTGCACGCTATGTCGCTCACGGCCGTCACCGTAAGGAGCACATGGATGCAGCTAAGAGGGTGTTGCGCTACTTGTGCAGTACGTCGGGCATGGGGCTAGTGCTTGGAGGGCGAGTCCCAGTTGTTCTCACTGGGCACTCAGACGCTTCTTGGGCAGACGACCAGGCTACTCAGCAGTCGTCTCAGGGTTACTCCTTCAGTCTTGGCTCTGGTTCAGTTTCTTGGCGTTCTACTCGCTCTTCTTCAGTTCTCAGCTCCAGTTGTGAGGCTGAGATCTACGCCACACCCATGGCGGCCCAGGAGCTACGCTGGCTCACCTACTTGCTGACCGACCTTGGAGAGCAGTCTCGTTCTCCTCCAGTGATGTACGTCGACAACAAGGCAGCCATTGCCTTGTGTGAGGAGCACAGACTGGAGCACAGAACGAAGCACATTGCTCTGCGCTACTTCCTTGCTCGAGAGTTGCAGCAGCGTGGTCAGCTTCATGTGCATTACGTGGCCTCTGAGGCCAACACTGCTGATGTGTTCACCAAGGCACTTCAGCCTTGTGACCATCAGCGCTTTTGCACTCTTCTAGGCCTTGTGCCTACTGTACCTCACTTGCTTACTTCTTGAGTCTGTTTGTACTGTGATCTCTATATATATATACCTGCATGTTTACTCTTGCTAGGCTGTGATCACTGTACCTCTTGTTCTATTATAAACTTGCATGTGAAATGGTCTTGTGACCACTTGCTTGTGCTCGGAATTTGTGTGGTATCCTTGACATCCACCCTGAGCTTGCATTGCCTTGCTTTGCCTTGACTGGTCTTGTGACCCCTAGTTCTCCCCCACTTCGCCTATGGGGGTGTGTCAAACATTATATATGTTGTTGTGCTTGTTTAGGCTACAGTGGGTTAAACTATAGGGGGTACACAATTCTAGGGTTAGGTACTTGTACTGTTTTCACTGCTAGTTCATTCATTCCTGTACGTTTACTCCAACATCGCCTGCACGTGGCGACAGCGAAGTAGTGGGAGGGGGGAAATCTCGGTAGATTGTAAGTGAATGTACCGCACCACGAAATTTCATCTAAGGAGAATTTTTCGCGATATTCTTCCGTATCGCAGCTACTCGTTAACGATTATAATAACGAATTCGTAAGAAAAGGGGGGTGTTATAGAAAATCAGCCAAAAAGGGGGTATAGTAGAAACGAGGTCTATCATAACACCCACCCCGCACAAGTTACCCGGGGGTGTACAATTACGGGGGGTTGGTTAGTCCCGGGGAATATGGTATACAGGGCTGTGATTGATTGAGAATCGCGTGCAAGCTGGCAGAGATTGATTCCTTGCCTACACACACAGTCAGAATGAGTCTACATGCGCCTCTGACAACTCATTCTGACTGCACGAGCTGCTAGTGAGCCGAGGGTGAAAGGGCATCTAAATTCAATGTGGGAATGCAAATGTTGAATTCGTTACAACGATTTCAGTAAAATTATATTAAAAAAAGAAGAGGGTGGCGCGTATAATCCGTAAGCCTTCAGGGGTGCGCTTATTATCGAGGACCGGATATAAGCGTCCTCATCCTTTTATAAGCGCCGGCGCTTATCCGAGGCCTGCGCTTCTATCCAGGGGCTTACGGTAACTTAGCCTTTTTGCTCTAGGGTAAAAATTCTGATACCATGTTTTGGCAAGGGTAACTGGGAAAAAGCGGCCGCTCATCAGGGTAAAAAGGGTATTTTACCCTAATAATTTGGGCCCTGCCCTACTGATTTGTAACAAAGTTCACAGTTGTCCCTACTTGGTACATTTACACAAGATTCTGCTCATTCACCAATGCAACTTATTACCCTGCTGTGGCATCTCTTACTGTAGCAGGTTTGTTTTGTTTTTTTCTAGTAAATTTGACCTCCTCCAGCAACTCAGAAGCTTTCGTTTGGATGAGCCTCCACGCCGCCTGCACATGCGCCATCTCTGTCTTCACCGCCCCTATTGCCATGCGCAGTGTGTACTGCCCCGATAGCACCTGCACGGGGTCACAGGGAGGCAGGTTGAAGGGTTAAGTGCCCCCTGCTCTTAGATGCAGGCGATTGAACGAGGCACGCAGCAGCATGGTGCGGGACTCACAGCGTGTGTGAGGTGCTTCTGAGGAGGAGCCTCAAGAATGTGTGTGTGTGGTAAATTAAAGGAATGGAGAAGCATGCAGCAACGTGGTCTCACAGTGTGTGTGAGGTAGCTGTTTATCGCCTCTAGTAGCGCCGCGTTCACCTTCCTCCCTGCATCCTCACTGCCATCGCCCATCACCCCCTCGTCCCCCCCTCCGCACGGCACCCCGCTGTGTGTCCGAGCTGCGGGCGGCTTGAGGCGAAAGCAGACGAGCGCGAAGGGGCGCGGAGCCATCAGCTGAAGGGCACGGGGGAAGTGGGCATTGGGGGAGAAAGAGAGTTGGCATCATCCTGAGGAACAGGGGTACGTGAGAGGGTGCATGAGAGGGTGTGTGAGAGGGTGTGTGAGAGGGTGTGTGAGAGGGTGTGTGAGGGGGTGTGTGAGAGGGTGTGTGAGAGGGTAGCACAGGCGATGCATGGAGAGAGTGATAACATGAAGCAGTGCAGCTCACTTGGAACCGATCATCTTGCCGCACAGCCTCCTCGAACCACTCAGCAAGTGCCACGTGGCGCCTGATGTATGCACAAATACCATCCGCCCCGTACGTGCGCAGCACCATCCACAGCTTCAGTGACCTGCAAGGGAGGGGCGGTGGGTGGCGGTTGTGGCGTGGGCAAGGGCATGGGCATGGGCATGGGCATGGGCATGGGCATGGGAATGGTGGTGAGCAAATTGGACAGAGCGGAAGTAGGCTTAGAAAAAAAAAAAAAAAAAGTTAACCAGAGAGAAGGAATTGAAATGAATATGGATCGGGGATTTCAGGATTGTATGCAGAATGGAGTGAGACAAACCCACTGCGTGCAGCTGTGGCGGGCAGGTGCACGAGGGGAGGGGAGGGGCACACCTGAAGCGGCGGCCAATGGGGATCTCCCAGTCCTTGTAGTCAACCACGTGATGGTTCTCTGATGCCTGCCATGCAGGGAGAGAGAAGAGGAGAGGAGAGGCGAGGAAAGAGGTAGTGTGTGTACTCATGTGGATGCACATGAGTAATCTGCGAAAGAGCATACTGTGATAAGGGCATACTGCAGTAAGACTACAGTGCAATAAGGGAATGTTGTGATAAGAGCGCACAAGAGCACAGTGCAAAGTAAGAGCTCACTTCGATGAGCACTACAGAGCGTACGAGCGCACCTTGTTCCGCAGGTATTCCGGCAGTATGGACAGTGCTTTCACCAGAGGCCTGCTGTCCTGGTGGGGCATGGGCATGGGCATGGGCATGGGCATGGGCATGGGCATGGGCATGGGCATGGGCATGGGCATGGGCATGGGCATGGGCATGAGCATGGGCATGGGGACATGGTGAGGTGAAACGGGTTGTGGCGCAGTGTGTTGCAAAGTGGTGCGGTGTACAATGGAGTGGGTCGTAGTGCATGTAGCGCAAACACGTAGGGTATCATCTGCCCCAACATAGAGAAGGTACATTCCCCACCCAGCAGCACCACCGCAACCATGCAAACCTCCTGTCTGCAGCCGCTTCGCAGCGCACCACCCCTCCCACCGGCACTACCAGGTTTCCCACCTCCCCTCCCACTGGCCGCACGTACCTGCGTCCACATGCAGCAGCAGTCGAAGCTCGTGAGCAGCCACTTGTGGGCGTTGGACGCTAGTGAGTCAGCCAGGTGCACGCCTGCCAGGTGGTGCCTCATCTCAGCGCACATGCATGCCATGCCTGCATACGCTGCGTCCACATGCACCCACATGCCATGTGCCTGTGCACGTGGTTGCAGAGGAGGGAAGACGAGGGGGGGATAAAGGGTACGTTCCGATGCAGCTGAGTATGAGCCCACATGTGGCGTGTCATGGCATGGCATCACATGGCATGGATCAGTGTTATGGTGTGGCATGGCACGGCATGGCATGGGATGGCATGGCACGGCATGGCATGGGATGGCATGGCACGGCATGGCATGGGATGGCATGGCACGGCATGGCATGGGATGGCATGGCACGGCATGGAATATCATGGCATGGTGTGGCGTGGCATGGCAAGAGGGCATATCAAAGCTCACCTTTGCGATGGCGGCCAGAGGGGCGATTGGATCAACAGCAGTGGATGACGTGGAGCCAACCTGCCATGACGAGGCAGAGGAGCAGAACAGGTACGAGGCATGGACTGGATGCATGAGTCATTGGCAGTGACAGAGGGGTTGATATGAGGACGAGCACGGGGCGATATGGAAATGTAGCACAGGTACACATGCACACAAGCAACACCTCATGCGCAAGGTGGTTTATCATAACATGTGAAGGGTAAGAAATGAGGCACCTTCCACTTACAATGAGAGCGAGGAGGAGGAGAACGAGGCACCTCCCACTTACAGTGAGGACGAGGAAGAAGGGAATGAGACCAGCAGCTTCATCCCTCTGCACCGCATCCAACAGCTGCCGAGCAGTGAGGGCATAAGCCGATGCAGCGGTGGTGGGCAGCACACGCACGTTGCCCTCGGGTATGCCTGCCACACGGCACGCCTTGAGTGCACATGCATGCGTCTGATCCGACACGTATATGCCACTAGACACTGTGCTGCCCTGTCCTCCGCACTGCCCCACGGGGTCCCGGCAGCCTCTCCCTGCTCACACGCACCAGCAGCAGCCTTGCTGGCAGCAGCCGCCCCACCACTGTTGCTGCCAGCCTGACCAGCACCTGCACCAGTGCTACTGGTGGTACCAATAACACAAGCCCCACTGCCATCGCCATCCCCATCGCCTGCAGCGTCCGCCGGCCACTCCTCATGTGCCACCCCCACGCTCCCGTTGCACCCCTGCCTGCCATTCCGTGATGACACTATCCTACATATAAGCCTGCTCTCCTCCTCGTTAAGGTGTGCTATCAGCCGCCCCTCTGCCGCCCGATTCTCCTCCTGAGCACCCTGCCTGCTGCCTGCTGCTGCTGCTGCTGCTGAATCTGCTGCCGCTTCCTCCACACTACCAGCCTGCCCCACCACGCGGTCCAGCACTCTCCGCCTGGCGGCCAGCAGCGCCACCAGCAGCGCCTCAATGGCCGTGCCGTGAATCACCCCCCCTCCCTGCCCGCCTGCCACGCCACCAGCCACAGTAACAGTGACACGCACGGCCCAGTATGTTGAGGGGGGGGGGTTAAAGGAAGGACGCAAGTGTGCACAATCTAAGGTATGCTCATGCTGATTAGGGTGCTCATTAGGCTGGACGTTCAAACAAGCAACTGAGTGAAGAGCTTGCCACAATGCGCCACTCTCCCTCGTCTAACTCCCCCCGACCTCACCCCCCCTCTCCTCTCATCACCCCCCACCCCACCCTACCCCACCGCACGTGACTTGAGCGATGGAACCTCTCAGGAAGTCCTGGCAACTCCACCATCCAGTCCATCACAATTTCCTTCAGCTCCATGGCAGCAGCGGCAGCAGCTCAGGAGAAGCCACCCTACCCCTCCTCACCTGAGTTCACCGAGTGGAACCCATCTGGACATGACAGTCTCTTCGAGCTCCGTGGCAGCAGGAGCAGCGGCCCACGAGAAGCCCACAGCGTTGAGGGCACTGATGAGGGCGCTGATGAGGGCGCTGATGAGGGCGCTGATGAGGGCGCTGATGAGGGCGCTGATAAGGTCGTTGGTGCACTGATGACCCCCCCCTTTCCCCGCTCAACCCCTCACCTGACTTAACCGAGTGGAACCCATCGGGAAGCCCTAGCAACTCCACCATCCAGTCCATGACGACCTCCTCCAGCTCAGTCGCCGCAGGGGCAGCGGCCCAGGAGAAGCCGACGACGTTGAGGGCGCTGATGAGGGCATCAGCACAGATGGCGGCGGCGCTGGTGGGCGAGGAGAAGAAGGCGAAGAAGGCCGGGCTCTGCCAGTGCGTCAGGCCCGGCAGGATGGCGCTCGATATGTCTGTGCGGTGCAGAGGGGGGTGGAGGGATGGAGAGGAGGGGTGCGGGGCGAGGAGGGGTGCGGGGCGACGAGGGGTGCGGGGCGAGGAGTGCGTTGAGGGAGAAGAAAGTGGGTGTGGCAATGGGTGGAAGGGAGGGAATTACAGGTGCAAGATACCTGTGGGAGGGTAGGGGCAGGCAGCGAGGGAGGGGAGTGGGCAAGGTGGTTCAAAGGAAGATGGAGGAATGCACACAGGTGGGGCCAAGGCGACGGAACACAGATGGGGGCGAGAGGGAGCGCGCATGACCTGAGAGAACGGCGTCCAGTGGTTCGCCATGCTCGGGGGCGTGGGCGGGCAGCAGAGGCCGCAGATAGCCGGGCTGTCATGGTGGCGGGACGGGGCAACAGTGGGGCCGCGCATGCAGGGCAAGGCATGGGCAGTGTGGTTAGCGGGCACAAGCATGGAGTGCAGTGGGATGCGCTGCAGTGGGATTGCAGAAGAGGGAGGGGGTGCAGGAGAATGAGTGCGTCCGGTGTGCTCACAACTGCTGGTAACCGCATGCGACCAGCCCTGCTGCATGCCGCGGGTGCACTCACGCAATTCTCCTCCACCTCTTCCACCAGTGCCTGTTCTCTCACAACCGCCTTTACTCTCTCACAACCGCCCTTACTCTCTCACAACCGCCTTTACTCTCTCACAACCCCCCTTACTCTCTCACAACCGCCCTTACTCTCTCACAACCGCCCTTACTCTCTCACAACCGCCCTTACTCTCTCACAACCGCCTTTACTCTCTCACAACCGCCCTTAATCTCTCACAACCGCCCTTACTCTCTCACAACCGCCTTTACTCTCTCACAACCGCCCTTACTCTCTCACAACTGCCCTTACTCCCTCACAACCGCCCTTACTCTCTCACAACCGCCCTGCATGCGATGCTGCTGCCAAGTGCTGTCAACTGCGAGCGTGGCATAACATGGCATGGCAACGTACGACATGGCATGGCATGGCACCGTACGACATGGCATGGCATGGCACCGTACGACATGGCATGGCATGGCACCATACGACATGGCATGGCATGGCACCGTACGACATGGCATGGCATGGCACCGTACGACATGGCATGGCATGGCACCGTACGACATGGCATGGCATGGCACCGTACGACATGGCATGGCATGGCACCGTACGACATGGCATGGCATGGCACCGTACGACATGGCATGGCATGGCACCGTACGACATGGCATGGCATGGCACCGTACGACATGGCATGGCATGGCACCGTACGGTACGGCATGGCATGGCACCGTGCAGAAAAGCACAGCAAGGCACGGCGCGCTATAGCATGCCATGCCATGCCATGGTAAGGCATGGCACGGCAGGACACACGTGGCTCACCTGCACGGTGGAGCACACGGGTCTGTCCCCCACGCCCTGCAGATAGTCTGCAATGAACTCCACCATGCGGTGACCCTGCCTGCGCACCTCCTCCGCCTCCAGCGCTCTGAATAATGTGCCCTCTGCTCCTGCCCCGCCTGCAATAGCACTGCCTTCCTGAGCTGTCACCTCGTTAAAAGCACCGTCCTGCACTGTCAGCCCGTTACAAGCATCTTCCTGCACTGTCATCCCGTTACAAGCACCGTCCTGCACTGTCATCCCGTTACAAGCACCTTCCTGCACTGTCATCCCGTTACAAGCACCTTCCCGCACTGTCATCCCGTTACAAGCACCTTCCTGCACTGTCATCCCGTTACAAGCACCTTCCTGCACCTCCGTGGCTTGCTCCCTCGCTACCATCTCCGCTGTCGCAGAGGGACGAGGCGGGGTCGAGGGGGTTCGGGGCGGCGCAGGCGGAGGCGGGGGGAGCGCGACGGCGAGTCACACTCGTGGCGTTTTCTTGCTCGTCAAGGCGAGGTTGCTATGAAGAGTGAGCGCGGCGCGGGAGCTGTTACAGTGGTACTTCTTGCAGGTCACGGCGGTTCCGCGTGAAGTCCGACTCTCTGTGCGCGCCGGTGATGACGAGCACTAGTAGTGTTACCCTTTCTACTAGGTCGCGGGAATATCACGGCGTGTGTTTCGGTGGCGTGCGGAGTTATTTCTTGCGGAGGCGTTAACGTGAAAGGTCTGCACGCTGCTGTCTGTCGAACGGCGGGAGGCGCGCGCTTCAACCTTGTATTTCTAGGAGTACGCTCGACGCACCGAGCGACGCTGAAAGATTGGTGGCACCCGCCGAAGTCGTTCTCCACGCCACGCCGACGCGGCCCTGCTCCGCCACTCGCTGAGTGTTGCTCTACGCCTCGCGAACGCGGATTCCGGGCCAAGAAGCAGCTTACAGGCGGCTCGACCGAGGAGGGCTCGCGACTCGCCTTGCGCCATGCCGTGCCTTGGCTGCCTCGAGGGCGCTGCCAACCATTCATCCCGCCGAATCGCCCAAATTCGCTCGACAATTGCCCCTTATTGTGGCGCACTGCAGTCTGTGAGGAAATTTCGCGACTCGCCGGAGCACACCTGGCAGCTTCTCTGGTAAGAAGGGCTTGGCGGAAGGGTTGACAAATCTGCTGACTTGGCGCGCCACTTGGTTGATGGTGATGCTAGGGAGGGAGTCAACACTGCAATGAAATTGCTTTCGACGATACATAGATTGGGCGATCAACCTTCCAACATCGATCTCCACCGTACTGTAAATACGCTTATTGTATCCAAGAGTTTCAGAACCTTCCGCCAATAATCGAAACTGTGGCAGGTTCGATGACATGAGTGTGACGAGAGAATCCCCGAAAGCAATTTCTGATGTGGACGTATGGTGAGTCCAGGTAGTGTGAGCCAACAAGGATAGTGACCTACCCCGTGGTCGTTGCACAGCGCAACGCGGGAGAGCATGTTGGTGAAAGAACGGCAACTAGTATTGTATAAAGCGGCGTCGTTGGTGTATGCTTTGTTTATATTCCGAGCCTGGCTTATGACGCGAATAGCCTGCCACATTTAAATCATTCGCACACACGGTAACGACGTTTCGCTCTCTTGAGTCAGTTCGCACGGTAACAGATGTTGAAATGTGGTTCATTTCGAATCTAGGACTACTTCCGCCTGAAAGCTGGAGCAGCCTGACCCAAGTTCAGGCCTCGATCCAGACTCCAGAGGGAAAGAGAATCCTAGCTGCTGTCTTCGCTCCGCGTCCTCTTCGCGTCAATTCTGCGGGCTCGCGCGCCTAGTGCCTCCAGCAGCGGGAGCTCGTTCGTCCTTGGCCGCCAAAAGGACAGCTTCTAACAGATTCTCCTAAACTTGGATTAATTGTGATTAGGCGCGGCGCGTCAGCAGCGGGACGCAGCGGCCATGGATGACGATTTCGATGATGGAGATTATTACGTCAAGCCGCGCATGCGCCTCGCATCTGAGCCGTTCGTTTCGCCAGAAGACCAGCTCGATCCAGACGCCTCGGTCTCTCGCCCCGTTCTCCTCATCCTCTGCGGACTCGCCGCCGCATTTCTAGCGGCGGGAATCATGACGTCAGGATTCCTCCAGTTCGCGCTCATCTGGATCGCGCTCGCCCTCGTTATAGGCCCTCTCGCTCCTATCACACAGACAGGTGGAGACTGCCGAGTTGGTGTCGGTCCCCCGTTAGAAGAACACCATCACGCCGAGGAGCAACCAGCAGACGAACCATCCCCAGCCTCTCGTTACAAGAACACGGTCGCTCGCGAGCCGCAGGAAGCTGAGCTGGCGGATCTCCCCGTCCAACGCGCCGCAGACGGCGGCGCCGCCAACGGCGGGAGCGCCGCCAGCGCCGCCGCGAGCGAAGGCGTCGACACGAGTGAGTGGACGCGCGAGGAGTGGGACCAGCTTAAGAAGCTTCTCGTGAAGCTTCCTCGCGGGACGACGCAGCGGTGGGAGAAGGTAGCAAAAGGCGTGGGGTCCGGGCGGCGCGCCGTGGACGACGTGATCCGATCCGCCAAGGCCGTCGCGCTGCAGAAGCCGTCGGATCGCGACGCGTACGCCGCGTTCCTGTCGCAGCGCAAGCAACACAAGGGCAGCAGCGCGGGCGCGGGGGGAGCGGGGGGGGCGGGGGGAGCCGAACCCGCGCCCACAAGCAGATGGGAGGAGGAAGGGATCGCCCCAGGGGGCGCGGCAGAGGCAGAGGGCAAGGGTGGTGGTAACGCGGTAACCACGTGGACGGAGGCGCAGGACCGCGCGCTGGTGCAGGCGCTGAAGGAGTTCCCCAAGGACACGCCCCTGCGGTGGGACCGCGTGGCCAGTGCTGTGCCGGGGCAGACCAAGCAGCGGTGCTTCAAGCGCTTCTCTGAGCTGAGAGACAAGTTCCGCTCCAAGGGGGGTGACCTCGCAGGTGCGTGGGGTGCAAATCTGCAGGTAGGTTGCTTTTGAGAATTCTCACAAACAGCGCTGCTTCAATCGGCTCGCTGAGCTGCAAGAAACATTCCACTCCAAGGGGAACGACCTCGCAGGTACATGGGTGGGTGGGGGGGGCCTGGCAGGTGGGGTGTAACGTTCCCATCTACTCTGGTCTTTTTTCACACGTGCTTTGTACCCTTGTATGTATCTCACATTGTCGCACCCACGCGCAGACTGATGCCAGCGTTGGAGTTCAAGTGGGCACAATCTCCTCGTCGCACTGCCTGCCCGCAAGGGACACATACGCACAAGTGAACTGTCAGCCTGCCGGCCAGCCCCATTGGCAGTCCCTCCCCGCATTGCCATCCACCACCTCCCTCGTGTTGGTATCATCCCCATGCCCTGTTAACATCCCAACGTCTTTTTGCCATCCCGAAGTAGGTATTCCTAAAAGATGTATGACACCAAATTGCATGATTCAGCATGGCCGTCCGAGTTATCCCTTGGGTTCAGTGCATCCCCATGTTTGTTTGTAGGCGGTCAGTTACCGTCTCCCCCCGGATATAAGCGCCACCCTAGGATAAGCGCCTGGCGCTTCTAATTGGCATATGGCGCTTATATCCCCTCCTCGATTATAAGCGCACCCCTTGAAAAAACTTGTTTTATTATAAGCGCACGTAAACTTTAAAATTTGAAATGTGTTCAAAAAGCTGTAACGATTTTTACTTTAGCAGGCGGATATGTTGCAGATTCGGTTCCCTTCACATTCGGACCCTGCACTGGATGCGGGTCCAGTCAGCAGGACCTGTCAGGAGCTGGATGTGAGTCAGATTGGGTGTATCTCCCAGCGCGCGCGAGAATTTCACAGACGATCCCATGTAACTTCGACTCGATTGAAAAGGCAAGCACGAGACCTACAGTTTGGTGTTAAAAGATATAAAAAAAATATGTATGTCATTTTATAAACGCCGGCGCTTATAAATTTACTCGATTATAAGCCCACCCCCATGAAAAAACCTGTTTTATTATTGCCCCCCATGGGGGTATATCCGGGGGGAGACGGTACCTTTCTCCACCAGCTGGCACAAAAAGCTTGGCGGGTCTTCTGCTTCTGTGTGCATGAACCGCTGCTGCCTCTCAGCGCACCTCACCGCTTCCGTTACTCCCTGGCAGATTTTGCACCACCTCCTGTGCTGCAGGTGCAATGAGCCCTTGCAATTCGCGAACCGTGCTGGCTGGTACGGTAATTGATTACTGTATTATTATAGAAATACGTACCGTATTCCCCCGGACATACCACCCTAGGGTGCTATGATAACTACACAAAAAAATGGGGGGGGGTCTTGTCATCGGAGAAAGCTACATTGCACCCGGGTCTTTTTATACGGTATTTTTAGTGTAAGGATTTTGATGCAAAGACAACTTGGGTGTTTTCAAAGTTGGATTACCATCACAGCTAGAAGCGAGAATGTGGGTTTTGGCGAGATCCTTTTCACCCCCCTTGAAATTGCCAAGTGGCACCTTTTTGGCCACTTGGTAGTGAACAATCTTCCAGCGTGGCAGTAGCGTAAAAGAGGGAGGGGGGTGATTTCGGTAGATTACATTGAAACTACCATGAAATTTCATCGCGGAAGTTATTTCCGCGATGTTCTGCAGTACTCGCTAACAGCTATAATTAGAAATTTTGTATGAAAGGAGGGTGCTATAGAAAATTCACCCCAAAAGGGGGGTATAGTAGAAACGAGGTCCGCTATAGCACCCCCCCCGCACAAGCCACCCGGGGGGTGCTCTATTTCGGCGGGTGGTATGTCCGGGGGAATACGGTAACGGGTCTCTGTGGTACGGTATCTGCTGGAACTGCTGCCAACCAGGCATAGGCTTATTGTAATACTGATGCGCGATACGGCATTCATCACTGCAGCAACAGCATAGGCTGCGTTGTGTCCCTCCAGAAGAGCAGAGAACACTACGGTAGCTACAATGGGTGACCGCCAAGGGCGAGAGAGTCACGAGTCACAAGACCTCAATCTGCAGTGCAGCACTGGTTCAGGCAGATGGCGTGCAGGAGGGAGCAGGGCGTGGTTGCATTGCAGGGGCGGTTGCCAGAGGCGGGTGCACGAGTGGCTATCTGTTGTGTGCTTGAGTGTAGCTCTCCGCGTTGTACAAGCGATGGCTGCCAGCCAGGAAAGGAGTGTCGGTGGGGGTTGGGAGGAGGACAGGGGAAGCGGAGGGGCAGGTGAGAGGTGCACGGAGGACGCATGAGCAGCAGAGGCGAAACATGGGAAAACAGGAGCAAGACTGATCGCCCTGCATGCATGGAGAGTGCCGATACAGGGGAAGGGCGAGGTGCTGGGAGGTGAAGAGTGAGAGCGGCAGGGTTTTTTGTAGCAATTGCCGCTTCATAGCACCAACCTCAGGCACGACACACACTCACATCCAGCCAATGCCAGCCAGCCACGAGCAGGACGCAACACTCACTCACCTCAACCACGCGCCGTGCATGAACGCTCCCCCTACGGCAGCGGCAAAGAGGCGATCCCTCAGCTGCGGCTTGTGGCGCAGCGATATGCGGACTGGCAGGACGGACAGGGCAGGCAGGGCGGCATGGGTAGGTGAGGGATGGCATGGGAGTGCAGAGGGATGGGATACGGTGGGAGAGAGGGAGGAGGAACTGCAGACATAGGAGGGGAGACGGTCAGACCCTGACCAATGGGGAGCAAAGAGCCGTACGCGGGCGATATGAGGTTCCACCGGATGCAAAAGAGCAAACAGCATGACGAAAGGGGGCCACGCGAAATGAGTGTGTTTTTGAGACGTCTCAAAAACGCACTCATTTCACGTGGCCCTTCAATCAGCATGACGAAAGGGGGCGATGGGCCAGCAGTAAAGCGAGGTGAGAGGGGGCGAGGGCATGGGGGGAGGGGCTGATTGAACGACACTAGTAAGCAGTAATAGTAATGGTGCGTCGACGAGGAGTGAGAGGGAAGCACGGGGATAGATGCGAGAGGGGGGCAGTGAGGGATGGAGATCGGTACTGAGGGGTAGGAGCGGTGCATAGAGGAGCGGCGTGAGCAGCCAGAAGTCGGGCGCCTTGGAGAATCGGCGCGCGGGGCGAATCGCCTCCGCCCTGATGGCGCACGCGATGAGGGGGGGGGCATGATGGGGGGATGGGGAGATGGGGGGGATCGGAGGATGCGGGGACGAGGGATCGAGATGGCGGGGTGAAGGGGTGACGGGGCGGGGACACGGTAAGGCCGGAGAAAACGGGCTCTTCCTTGAATTGAACTAGGAACTAGTCGCAGGCTACATCGCAGCGCCCGATCGTGTTGACTTTTGAGTCGACTCAAAAGTTGAACTAGGAACTAGTAGTCGCGGGATATATCACAGCGCACGATCGTGCGCTGATCATAAGATTCTGCTGTTCGCAGTGGATCGCGAAGCAAACCGTCATTACAGCCTCTATCAGCCGTCACTCAACCGTCGGTCAAGCGTCAGTCAACCGTCCGTCAATCGTCAGTCAACGGTCAGTCACACTGGCCTTCGTCTGAGAAGAGAACTCACGGAAGCGAGGCGGGAGAGGCGATGGAGGTGGGCGGATCGGAAGCAGCGGCCGGCGCCGCCTCTGACATCGCGGTTCGCGACTCACACGCTGAACGCCCAACTTATCGCCGCCCAACACTTATTTCTAGTCCTGTCTGGCGACTCGACTGCTGCCTCCGCCAGAGCCTGGGATGGAATGGTAGTTGTCAACAAGAGGAGGTTGTGATGGATGGAAAACTACGCGCTGTAGGAGGTTTCGCGCAAAGGACGGCACTTTGTGACTGGTTTTCCGATATAGTAACGAGGAAACATCAATGTTTAAAAACCATTTTATACTTGTTCTAAAAGGCTCACGTTATCATTCGCGAAACAAAATTCTTGGGATAATGTAAGCAACTCAAAACATTATTGCCAGAATGTTCATGTTTCAGAAGGTTGACGTCGTTGTTATACAAGTACTGTTAATGTCGTCGCCTTAAAATAATATAAACCCCTATCAAATGACAAGTCGTGCGGTGTATAGGGTTGATGCTCTCAGAGTTAGTGGAATTGTTGATATAACCGGGAGTCGTAGTGGATAGGATAAGGCTTGCTAAGTTGTGAGAAGACAATGAAGTCTTATAATTGTTGGGCTGAAATGCCATTTAGGATCTTTGTAGAGTTGAAGTCTAGGTAGAGTTGTAATAGCGGAAGCGTTGAAAAAAGAGTACTTGAACCACCTTGCGCTGGTGTGTGAGGGCAAAGTAAGTTGATTAAACAAGCAAATACAAAGGTTTATATAAGAGTACAAGGAATACGAATAGATAGGTTTAAACCGTTTTACTGTTGCGATTCGATACAGTGCGGCTCGAGCAACTGCTCAATGTCGAGTCAGTTGTGTGTCCTTGCTGTCGCGCTGTATTTGTCAAGTCAAAGGTCGCTGACCTTTGACCTTCGCGTAACCTCCAGGCGGTTACCCTAACCTCCGAGGGTTCACTCGCGATGCTTCGATTCAGTCTGCTTCGCTAGTGTCCTGAGTTTCGACACGACAGAGGCGCTTTAAGACTTTGTTGTTCCCAACACTCCCCTTCGCTTCTGGAGTGTCGCTGATGGTGACGTGGCCTTGTCCAGTCAGCAGCATGCAGTACTCGAACTTCTGTTTTCCGAGCTTCTTGGTCAAGTAGTCGGCTGCCATCTCGGACGTGGGACAGTAGGATAATTCGAGTTTCCCTTTCTCGATCTCGTCTTTTACGAAGAAGTATCGCAGAGCGATATGGTTCGTTCTGTTCGCGAATCCGCTTTTGTTAGCGATGCGAATTGCAGATTGGTTGTCGCAGAACAGGGTGAAGTTGGGTAACTCGGCTAACTTTGCTTCTTCCAGCAGCTCGCGAAGGTAGAGTCCTTCCTTGCTGGCTGAGCAGAGGGCGATATATTCTGCTTCAACTGAAGAGAGAGCGATTAGTTCCTGCTTGCTCGACTGCTAGGAGATAGGCCCGATAGGCTCGAGACGATAGACGTAGCCAGTGCGAGAGCGCCTGTTATCAGAATCGCCGGCATGGTCAGCATCGACGTAGCCGATTAGCTTCGTCGTCGTAGCTTCGCCCTTGTAGTAAGATAGGCCGATCGTCGGTGTGCTCACGAAGTAGTGTAGTGCGCGATCGAGTTCCGCCATGTGCTCTGCTTCGGGTTTCTTGAGATAGGTGGCGAGTTGGCTTGCGGAGTAGGATAGATTCGGACAACATGTGACGGCTGCAAAGAGGAGGCAGCCTAATTTCCTCCGGTAGTCTCGTATTCCGGCAGCCTTGAGTGGAGTGGAATTTCCTTTGTCGCTTCCTGCCGTGTGGCGGTATGGCGTGGTGATAGCGGTAGGTGTGAGCGAGAAGCGCTTGGCGATAGTGTCGGCGTATTTCTTGGCGCTGAGGTAGATAGCATTTTCCTCTTCGCGGATGTTGAGCCCGAGGTACTGGGTGACGGTGGAGGAGACGGTGAGCGTGAGGTCCTTCTGCAGCTCCCCTTCGAACCAGGTAGTGACGTCGTCGGTGGAGCCGATGTAGAGCAAGTCGTCGACATAGACGATCAGTAGGATGTAGTCTGTGTCTTTGGTGAGGCGATACATTCCTTGGTCGTGAGGCAGTTGGCGGAATCCGATGCGAGTGAGGCGGGTGTGTGGGTGCTGTTGCCACAGTCGCGGGGCTTGTTTGATTCCGTAGAGCGATTTCAGTAGTTGGCAGACCTGATTGGGGTTTCCGTGGGTACCGTGGGGAAGTTCGACGAAGATTTCGGCGTCGACGGGTGCGTAGAGGAATGCGTTGGCGACGTCAATTTGTCGCAGCTTCTTCTTCTTCATGGCGGCAACGGCGAGAAGAATTCGGAGAGAGGTATGTCGACTAACCGGGGCGAAAGTCTCGGTGAAGTCTCGTCCTTGCTCCTGGTCGAATCCACGCACGACCCAGCGTGCTTTGAACTTCTCGATTGTGCCGTCAGCTTTCGTTTTGATGCGGAAGACCCATTTCTCGGTGAGGATGGTCTTGTTCCGTGCCACGCTTGCGGGAACGACCTTCCAGGTGTTACGTTCCTCTAATGCCTTTAATTCCCTGTCCATGGCTTCACGCCATTTCTCCTTGTGTTCCCCCCCCAGAGCCTGCTGAACTGTCGCATGCTCTTTAGGAAGAGTGTTGCCTGTGTTCCCGTGGACTGCGGTGACGAGACCAAGGATTTGCAGCCCAGTCTATGAGTATCGGGGGAGTGTTGTGTCCTCGGGATAAGCTGCTTCGTCTCCTGCTTCTGGATCGGGTATGAAATTTGGCCCTATCCTATCTGCTTCATTTGTGTTGACTGTCGCAGGTGTTACGTAACCGTTGTCGGCGAAGTGATAGAAGACTTCGGCGTTGTTACTGTCGCGAGGATTTTCTTCGTCCATGGGCACGTCGACGGAGCAGTACGGGAGAGGTCCAGCTTCTTCCGATGCGTTGTCGACGTTCTGTTCATCCCAATCCGCTTCGTCCGCTGCTGAGGCGAAGGCTTGGTCACCACGAAAGCCACCTGTGAGGTCCCGATTCTCGTGCAAGTTGGCGAGGTACGTCTGTGTCAGATGATTATATTGCTGATGCATATATTTAGGCTGTAGTGGGGTAGCCCATAGGGGGTACAACCCAATTAGGGTTGGTACTTGTACTCGTTTCATTTCATAGTGCACTCATTCCTCTCTGAACTCCACATGGTATAGAGCGGGTTCCCTGTGGGAACTTCGCCTAGGGCCCGCCGAAGCGCGCCCCGAGGCGCGCCAACTTTTTTTTCTCTCGCTCGAGCGACCCTCCGTGTCGCCCTTCCCTCGCGGCCCTGCCGCCCTCTCTGACGCGGCCCCGCCGCCATTTCAGCCGCAGCTCCGCCGCCCATCTCGAACGCGGCCCCGCCGCCTACTAAGACGCGGCCCCGCCGCCCGCTCGGACGCGGCCCCGCCGCCTGCTTAGCCGCGGCCCCGCCGCCTGCTACAACGCGGCCCCGCCGCCTACTCACCCGCGGCACCGCCGCTCGCTACGACGCGGCCCCGCGCCGCTGCACCTGCCGGCCCACCGCTGCACCTGACGGCCCGCCGCTGCACCTGCCGGCCCGCCACAACACCTGACGGCCCGCCACTGCACCTGCCGGCCCGCCGCTGCACCTGACGGCCCGCCGGTGCACCTGACGGCCCCGCCGCTGCACCTGCCGGCCCGCCGCTGCACCTGCCGGCCCGCCGCTGCACCTGACGGCCCCGCCGCTGTACCTGACGGCCCCGCCGCTGCACCTGACGGCCCCGCCGCTGCACCTGCCGGCCCGCCGCTGCACCTGCCGGCCCACCGCTGCACCTGACGGCCCGCCGCTGCACCTGCCGGCCCGCCACTGCACCTGACGGCCCGCCACTGCACCTGCCGGCCCGCCGCTGCACCTGACGGCCCGTCGCTGCACCTGTCGGCCCGCCGCTACACCTGACGGCCCCGCCGCTGCACCTGCTGGCCCGCCGCTGCACCTGCCGGCCCGCCGCTGCACCTGCCGGCCCGCCGCTGCACCTGACGGCCCCGCCGCTGCACCTGACGGCCCCGCCGCTGCACCTGACGGCCCGCCCCTGCACCTGACGGTCCCGCCGCTGCACCTACCGGCCCCGCCGCCCAAGCAGCCGAGCCGCCGTGGCAGCCGAGCCGCCCCAGCAGCCGAGCCGCCGTAGCAGCCGAGCCGCCCCAGCAGCCGAGCCGCCCTAGCAGCCGAGCCGCTCGAGCAGCCGTGCCCCACGAGCCACGTAGCGCGCCTTGAAGACAGGCGGAGAACCCGGCAGCCACTTCACCCTGAAAATCCACATGCCACTGACAATGTTCGCCCCAGGAGGGGGAACAGCGTCAACGTAGGTGCCTGTGGACTTCTAGGAAGCCATCTCTGCGTCCATGGCTGACTGCCACTGAGAGGAGTAGGGACCGGCCATCGCCTCCGCGTAAGAGCGTGGGGTCGGGATGTCTAGAGCATCCGGGTCTCCCTCAGGGGCAACAAGCATGGACACGAGATGAGGCAAAGCGGCGGCAAAGCACTGGAACTCCTCCTGCCTGTCCTCAAGGACGTCCGTGCCAAGAGCACAGTCACCCCCGACGGACGGAGGACAGGCAGACGCAGACGCAGCAGACGCAGACTAAGCAGACTCCGCTGCTGAGTGGTCAGCTGAGTCTGCTGAGTCTGCGTCTGCTGCGTCTGCGTCTGCCTGTCCTCCGTCCGTCGGGGGTGACTGTGCTCTTGGCACGGACGTCCTTGAGGACAGGCAGGAGGAGTTCCAGTGCTTTGCCGCCGCTTTGCCTCATCTCGTGTCCATGCTTGTTGCCCCTGAGGGAGACCCGGATGCTCTAGACATCCCGACCCCACGCTCTTACGCAGAGGCGATGGCCGGTCCCTACTCCTCTCAGTGGCAGTCAGCCATGGACGCAGAGATGGCTTCCTGGAAGTCCACAGGCACCTACGTTGACGCTGTTCCCCCTCCTGGGGCGAACATTGTCAGTGGCATGTGGATTTTCAGGGTGAAGCGGCCGCCGGGTTCTCCGCCTGTCTTCAAGGCGCGCTACGTGGCTCGTGGCTTCAGTCAGCGACAGGGAGT